GAACAATGGTTGCGTTGCCATTACCTCCATGATCTTTCAAGCGTTCAGGGCACACATTTCTTGTGTGACCCTCCTTCTTACAGTGATAACATCGAATACCAGATGTTTCACCACTATAAGACTTTTTTTTAACTTTTTCCTTTCTTCTTGTCGAACTTACCATCCTTTCGCAAGAATTTTCCCTTAACGGCCAAACCTTCGCGCACCGTCGAAGGTTTATGCTCCTTTTGTTCGTTCAAGTCCTTAGAATACAAGGCTGATTGAATTTCTTCAAAGGTCAGGGACTCCCTTCCATACAAGAGAGTTTCTTTGAAGTGAGCATGTGTTCTGGGCAAAGCACACAACACCAACAGTGCTTGATCTTCATCATCGATCTTCACATCAATATTTTCAAGATTAAGAATCAGCTTGTTAAACATATCTAACTGCTCAGCCAACACTTTGTCTTCACTCATCTTGAATGAATACAAAGCTTGCTTCAGGTAGAGTCGATTCACCATAGATTTGGTCATATACAAATTTTCAAGTTTCACCCATAATCCCAATGTTGTAGTCTCCTTTGATATTTGTCGAAGAACCTTATCACCAAGACTCAACAATATTGCGCTGTTGGCTTTCTAGATCATACCCGTCTTTTCTTTTACCGTTAACGCAACGTCCATGGCTGCCTCACCTTTCAACGCTTCCAAACAACCTTGTTGAACCAGTAGGACTTTCATCTTCAAGCGCCACAGAGCGAAATCCTTCACTCCGGTGAACTTTTCAATCTCATACTTTGTTGAAGGCATCTTCTCCATGCTCACCGCACCAATTTGTTGTGAATCGGATGTCTTAAAACAAAGTATAAACAATTTCTTTATGATTAAGAAACACACAAGGGTTAGGGTTAACAAAGAAAACAAGGTAAAACAACAAGGATTGGTTATAAACTGTTATTCTTTCCTTACTCTTGGGACACGATTACACGTATACAAGAATAACAAAATAACCTCTCTCTCTTGAAATTAGGATTTTATCTTCCTATTTTTCCTTATGCCAAGATTGAGAAACTAGCATCCTATTTATAATAAAAATAGCACACTAACCTAATGGTTTTTTTTTATAACAATTATCCATTACAAGCTAACTTAGAGTACAAGCTAACTTAAACAATTGGGCTTACAAGCAAGACCCAATTCAACATGCTAACAACCCTAGCAATATTGACTAATGTATGTTAGAACAAACTTCGACTACAACACGCATTACTCCGACAGTAGCACGCGAACATAATTTGACCTCATGTTTAATTCTCGTCGAACCAGAAGCCACCCTTCGACCATACTAGAGTTCGATCCAACATCTCACAATTTGGGTGATGAAATTGCACAAAGAAAGGATGATGAGGAATGCGTAGGTGCAGAATGGAAGAAAGATGAGAGTAAGGTGAGAGAGATGCAAGCTTTAGAAACTTTGAAGAAACTTTATGAATCATTCATGAAGAAGAACAAGAGGTTGAAGATTAAGATCAAGGCATAGTCATTTGGGGAAAGCCGAAGACAATATGTGTTGTAGTTTACGTCTTGTCAACTTGTATTTGTTGATTAGGTGTGATTGTTGATTAGGTGTAATTGTCTGTAATGTTGTGTAAGTGGTAATGTTGTGTAAGTGGCAATGATGTGTCATTGGTTTTGCCTGAAATGTAACATGAACTGGTTTTATAATGTTGAATTAGTATGAAATACAATTTGGTGTAATTCAATTTGTATTGTTCAATTGGTATGGTATGGTATTGTCTGTATTGTTCAGTTATGACCTTTAATATCACACAATGGTCCTCATATTTTCACACAATCTGACCTATAAATTGGACATAATATGAGCTATAAAATGTGCAGACAAGGTGTCCTTAAAATCTGACCTATAAAATTTGTAAACAATGATCATAAAGTCTAACTTTGCAGACAAGGTGGCCTTAAAATTTAGACATAAAGTGATATATAATTTTGGCATGATATGAGCTATAACTTTCAGACAAAATGATTTATACTTTCACATTGAAACCATATGAACTCAACAGATTTCGCCAGAATAGTATAATTAATTTGACATAACATAAATTGTTCAAAAGACTACACCAATGCCATTAAATAAGCATACCATAACATGTTCAAAAGACTACATCAGTACAAGACACTGAGCAAAACAATACATCAGTGCCATTACATCAAAATACAATGATTTATTCAAAAGACTACATAAGTACATTACATAGAGCAAAAAAGTACATCAGTACATTACATCAAAATATTTGTATCTAAAAAAGTCCATTGAGCAAAATACTACTGCTTTATTAGGTTAAACCTTTACCAATTGTGATGTCTTCTTCAATTAGAACCAAAGGGTCATCAGGTTTCTTTCCAGGGCCAGGAATGTTTTTGTGTTTTCAAGGTCCTCAACCTTTCACTATTCTTTTTTCTATTGCAACGTTAATCTGTGTCTTGTACTTGCTATGGGTTTTAAACTTAACTGGTTCACTTGAACTTGGCATAGAAATGTTTTATTCTAATACCATATGGTTTGAAAGGCTTGTTCTTGCACACTTTTGGTTGCTTACTAAAGAAAGGCTTGACACTACTTTGCTTTGGTGCAGCTGCCTTGAGATGCAATTTGTCAACCCTAAAAGGTTGAATGTTCAAGACCTCATCACCCCCTAATAATGCAGTCAAAGTTTCATCCAAACATGAAAAACGTGTGGGTTGGTCCTTTTTAGTTGGCTCAGATGGTTCACTTACCATTTCCTCACTGACAGTTGCTTCTTGATTAGTTGGATCGGTTGCCATTTCCTCATTGACAGTTTTTTATTAGACAATTGCCATTTACTCATTGACAGATGCTTTTCCCTCCTTGACAGTTGCATCAGTTGCTTCCTCACTGACAGTTGTTTCCTAAGTAACTCTTGCTTCATTGACAATTGGTTCCTCAGTGTTGGTTGCCTCATTAACAGTTCTTTCCTTGACAATTGGTTCCTCAATGTCCGTTGCTTCATTAACATTTGCTACCTTGGCAGGTGGTTCCTTGACATGTGGTTCCTTTACTGCTATAACTTTGACATGTGCATCTTTGGCTTTTCCCTCCTTGATTTTTGTCTTCTTTGTTCCTCCCTTATATGTACAATTGTTGGTAGATCCCTTAGGCCTCCCATGCATGAAACAAACACAAAATTAACATTCTTATCCTAGCACAAAATTACCTAGTTAAACAAGCACAAAATGTTAAATTTAAGTTAAACATTACCCTTTTTTTTGGGGTGCCAAATTGACTTTGCTCGTCTGACTTGCTTGTGTAGGCATCTCTTGAGATAGTTGTGTAGGTAAGTCTTGACTGGCCTGTTTGGGCAACCTTTGACTGAGCTGGGTGGGCATCCCTTGACTAGCCTGGTTGGGCAACCCTTGACTGGACTAGATGGGCATCCCTTGACTGGCTTGGTTGGACATCTCATGACTGGCCTGAGTGGTATTTCCAGAGGGAACAAGCACAATTTGTTTATTCTTCTTGCAGATCCTTTTGTTGTGACCTAGGTCAAAACAAGCCTTGCACCTATGACTTATATTTGTTCTATGCCATTTTGTATGGTTCACTCCATCTAGCTCTCTCCTTATAATTTTCTTGAGTCTCCTTAGGCTACGTTTTAACAAAGGGGACAACATAGTTTTATTGGATGTTTTTGGCCATTTGTTCTGGCCATTCAATGGGGTGATCACTTTACTGTAACATTTTTCGTATGTGCTTTTGTGATAACAATTACGCACATATTTTGTTGGGTCATCCACTTTCCTATGTATGGCAGCCACACCATGTCTACATGGAATCCCAACAAGTTCTCAATAGCTGCATGAACATGATTGTTTTTCTAAATCCACTACAAAACTATCAGTAAACAATACATGTGTGACTTGAAAAGTTAATCTGCCAACATAAGTTGTTGTCCAACTATCACTTTTTTCAATCTCTCTATCTAACCTCTTTAATGGTTTTGTCATTATCTACCCTTTATAACTATCTACCTTTTCTCTAAGTGTTGCAAACCTTCCCATTAGGTAATTCCTAATCCACTCAAACATGGTAATGATTATTTTGTCTCTTTGTAAAAAAATTGTTGTATTAAAAGACTCACTTAAATTGTTCATTAACACATCAGACTTTGAGAAAAAAAGGAAAAGCATGCTTACACCACTTTATTTTGGGAATTGCCTCTAACCACTCATAAGCCTCCAAACTGACCTCCTTGATCATAAGCATCCTTACCTCATGTGCCTCAAAATAAGTTGCCTTTGCAGCAACCATCATAAGATCTCTAAACAAAGTTCCTCCTCCAAACTTCTCTTTGAAGTTAGCATATAAGTACCTTAAACAGAACCTGTGTTCATAGGCTAGGTACTCCTCTTTTCAAAAACCTGAACTAGTTTCTAAACCAAGAAAATGTGAAAAAATGGAAAATTATAAAAAAAAATTTTTTTTGATTAAAGTACAACTTACTTTTTTGTTGGTCAAAGATGAAACACCATCTGCCATCTCCTATGTCCTCAATAAGCAATTTTAGAAACTTGCTCCATGAGCCCTTTGATTCAGTCTCAACAACAGCAAAGGCAATTAAAAAATATTGGTCATTAGGGTTTCTCCCAACAACAATGAGTAAAATACCACCATACTTGTGTTTTGAATGGCATCCATCTAATCCAATGAAAGGTCTGCATGCATTTTTGAAAGCTTTCTTGGTCCCATCAAAACACATATAGCACCTCTCAAATATAGGTTTCAAACTAGGACTAGGAAAACTACTGTTGATTTTGAAAGTGTTACCAGCTAAAGCCCTTCTTAACTCAGCATCATATGACCATAAAAGACTAAACTGTTTGCTAGAATCTCCTTCAACAATGTGTCTTGCAATCTGTCTTGCCTTGAATGCTTTGCATCCTGGAATTTCTGTGGCATACCTTTGTCTAACATCTGCTACCACCTCACTTTAATCTGATCCTTGAGTTATTTTTTAATCCATCAACAATGACCTTGGCCACCCACTCTGCTTTATCACTTTTGTTGAAGAATTGTCTTCCATATTTGTGCTTTGCAAACAAAGTTTTAATCCTAAATATGGTGGACGTTAAAACTCTACTGCACAAAGAAGAAAACTCCATTCCCACCTTGAAAACAAAATCCTTGCTTAAAGATTCTTCTTGATTAAACTTGATTACACAAGGCCTTTCATCACAACTGTCATCATCATCACCACTGTCTAGCTCATCAGTCATGTATGCATCTTCAATGACATGTTCCTTACCCATCTCTTCTGTTATAAAAATCTTCTTGTCTACATGAGCAGTACCCTCCTCATTTGCAACAGTTCCATCTTTTGGTTCTCCTTAAACTCCATTATCAAACACTTCATCAAGCCTTTCATCAAATCCTTTCATTCTCTCCTCCTCACTATTATCAAATTGAACACCTCTAATAGATTCAACACTAGAATCGTCACTTGCTTCACTCAACCTGTCACCATCTTCATCACATTTGATTCCCTTTCCCCTTTCTCTAAACCTATCCATAAAGGTATCTTCTCCTACAACTTTATACTCACAGAATATCTCAACTTCACACTTATTTCCTACAACATACATGGCTAACTCAGAAGCATCTCCATCATACCTAAATGGTTTTAAGTCTTGTACAAAGGATCCTTCATCATGTTTCCACCACATCTTAACACCATCTATATCAAACTCTAGTTCAATCAACTTAACTAGGTCACATGCTTCAAAGAAAGACCAATAATCATGATCTTGACCATTAAAAGTATACATTTCTCCTCCCTCATATCTTATGTTAGAGTTTTTTACAAAATAACCCTTTGAGTAAAATACAACCTTGAACTTATCAATTTCCTGCACACAAAATTTAACCTACGTTTAAAATTTACCATTACTCTGTCAAATTAATTTACCCTAATTTTTTTAAAAAATGGCAACAAACTTAACCTATTATATAAATGGTAATACCAACTAACAAATTAAATAGAATGGAACCATTGAGAAAGCAACAAAGATGATATACAAAAGAGGGAACATAAAAGAGACAGAGTAAAATACATCAGACCACTTGCTCGCCTTCTCAAAAGTTTGTTTTTGGGACCACTCCTACGAAGTAGCTTTGGGACCGCTGCAAACCAAGATTTCTTCTTTGAATAGAGGTAAAGCTTGTTTGTCGTTCCTTGGTCAATGCGCACCTCCAAGACAAAAACAATGGAAACTTCTGCTAGGGCACACTTCTGAAGTTGAGTGTTTGAGCCGTGTTTTATTGTCATCATTTAAAATGATTATGTTATCAACATTTCTACGGTGGTGAATTGGAATTAAACATATCACACATTATCAAAGTAAATATTACAGGTGATATAACACATAAGCCTCCGTTAGTTAAAACTAACGGGAGAGACCATATTTAAAGATGGAAAATTTTGTGAGAATCAAAATTTGAAGAATTTTTTTATAAAAACTAAACTTAAGTTGTAATATTTATAGAAACTAAAAACATATAGAGAGGAATTAGTAAGTGATGAAATGTTTACCTTGACTAAGAGAATCCCCCTAAAGATGGAAAAATGTATATATCTTTGTGATACAAATTAAAATGTATATATTTTTTTGGTATAAAGAAAAAGATTGAACTTTTATTTCCTTTCTAATTTTTCGCTAAAATAGCTTAAAGAAGATGCGTTACCCTCAGCACCTATCTCACTTTTTCCAAATACTGCACCCCAAAACCAAAACGTTTTGTTCCTTTTCATACACTTTACATTCTTTAATTATTTTCTTCACCCCACCAATCTAATGGACTCCACAAACTTAAAATTTAAACCTTTCAAAACTAATGTACATGTATTTTTATATAATGATAAAAGTTAAAATATATAATATATGTTGTGCGAATAGAAAAAATAAATTATTATATAAAAATAATGAATAACACATTTTGTTTGAGTCTGAGCTCAAGCCTCAGTTATTAGTCGAAGAAAAATTGTGATAAACGCATCACTTTCGATTGATTATCTAATTAATTACAGAACCTTTGATCGTTTAATGATCATGAGCACATCACCAACAATAAAGTCACTACATAGGTTCAAGTCTGTGCGGAGCAACAAGCTCTATCACATAAGTCCTAAATTTTGAGAGGCCACAAATTTTAAAAGTTTTATTTTTTTCTTTCTTTTAATACTAATAGATATATTTTTAATTATTATAATTATATATTTTTTAAAAATTATGTCCATTTTTAAAATTAAAACGGAAATTTCAGATTAATTGGATCGACCTTGCTTAAATCACACGAATAAAATTTACAACACGAGATTATTCGATCTATAGTGCTAGTTGTGGAGAAACACAAGGTTTTTAGAGAGCACAAATTTAGAATTCTAGTGCGGGCTAAGCTTTTGAAAATAAGTAAAATGAGTGATTGTCAATTTAGTATGATGATTCTATTTATAGACCCATTTTATTATATATATATATATATATATATATATATATATATATATATATATATATATATATATATATATATATATATATATATATATATATATATATATATATATATATATATATATATATATATATATATATATATATATATATATATATATATATATATATATATATATATATATATATATATATATATATATATATATATATATATATATATATATATATATATATATATATATATATATATATATATATATATATATATATATATATATATATATATATATATATATATATATATATATATATATATATATATATATATATATATATATATATATATATATATATATATATATATATATATATATATATATATATATATATATATATATATATATATATATATATATATATATTTCTGGCCTGGGCCCCGGTTTGACCGGGCAGCCCAATGATATTCTGCCAAGCCCAATCCAACTTGGGCCACAGCCGTCGAGCATAGAGTCTCCGCCGGGCAGACAATGGTCCCTCCGCGGGCAGGACCTTCTCCCTTGTCGGGCAGAACAACGTGTCCTTCACACGTTCTTTACGTGCTCCCCTCCGCGGGGACACGTCACCCACCAACTGTCCACCTCCGAAAGAGCAGGTCAACCCACTTTCCGGAGTTCACGGAACAGTTGAACTAGGGCGACGACCACGTTCTGGTCTTCACTACGCCACGTAAGCCCTATCAGTCACTTGGGTTGGGCCTGACCATTCAGCCCAACTCAAATGACCGTTGGCCCTGCGCTGGAGTCTCTCTATAAATACCCTCTTCTCCAAGAGGGTTAGGTATTCTCTTCTTACCCCTTTTCTGTATTTGTTGTCACTCTGTCCAAACTCTTACTTTGGCATCGGAGTGTCTTGCAGGTACACCCCCATCTCCTTTTCAACACCGGTGAACAGGCAACGGATTAACGACGTGTGGCAAGTCCTTGGTCCCCTTCTGATCAGGTCAGATCATATATATATATATATATATATATATATATATATATATATATATATATATATATATATATATATATATATATATATATATATATATATATATATATATATATATATATATATATATATATATATATATATATATATATATATATATATATATATATATATATATATATATATATATGCATCACAACTTACGATATATGTTTCTCTAATTAACATTACTACAACTTAAGAATACACCATTAAATCGTAAATGAATCTTATTAATTTATTTAATTTTTCATTGATCTATTCTTATGTGTGTGATAAAGTAAATTTATGTTATGTTGACAATAATACTATAAACATAAAGTGGCATCTACCAATACATCATTGATATCCATGTGATGAGAATTTTATGTAATATGACATATATTTTATGTGATAATAATTATGTGTATAGTTACTCTTTTATCCTTATACATTTGTTGAACACAAGACACAATTTATGTCAATCTGGTGTTGTTCAATATTATATTCCTTGATACTTGAGTATATTTATTATCAATAAATAAGTTCAATATTGCACATTGACTTATTTAAAAAAATTTCATGCAGTTTACAATCATACTCGATCAGAGAACCCATAAATATTATTTATGCATATGTATGGGTAAAATCTCATCTATGTCACCCATGTTCCTCCACATGACTCGTTGAGTACCTAGTAAACTGACTTTGTAATTGTAATGTTACATACAAAATTTAACGGTAATGTTCCGCTGTGGAACAAAAAATGAATGTGATTGGAAAACTGGTGACCTTGAACAGTGATGATGGAGGTTCGTGGCTTCTAGGTGCGATGGACTAGGGGCCTGCAAGGTTAACTCTGCAATGCTCAAGTCAGTATATGAGAAAGAAGAGTAAAATAAAATTAATTTGAAATCTCATACCTCCATTTGGAGCTTTGCGCACACACACACACACATATATATATATATATATATATATATATATATATATATATATATATATATATATATATATATATATATATATATATATATATATATATATATATATATATATATATATATATATATATATGTAGAGAGAGAGAGAGAGAGAGAGAGAGAGAACTAACTATTTGTTAGTCGTGATTTGCAGAGAGTCGTTGGATGTCTTTTGATGACACTCGGTCATTACGTAATATTTGCGAGCAATTTTGGACAAATCGGTGGAATTATGAGCGAAAACCGAGTCAAATGGTTGAAGAAGTGAGCAAAAACTTCAAATGAGAGAAAAGTTGGGACTTAGTGGAAAAAGAAGAAAAATGAAGAAAAGAGCAAGAATTTTCCATTATTTTTCTCACAGTCGCAATGCTGGCATTGTGGGCGCGATGATGTTATATCGTAATCGCGATGGATACCAACACGATCACGATGAAGTGTTTTTTTTTGACATGCGCCAACTGTTATTTAAAGGGACTTTTGACTACTATTTTTAGGGGTTCCAAGTTTGAGAGAAAATGGTGGTCAAAAGCTTTTGAGCACAAATTTGGAGAGCATTGGAGCCATTAGAGAGCATATTTTTCATTGATTTTGATGAATACTTCTTATCAACTCATATAATTGTTAATTTCACTATGAGTAGCTAAGTTATTCTAAATTTGGTCTTTTAAGATGAACCTAATTGTACTTTATTAGATCTTATGATTGCTTGATATTATTTGAATTTCTTTATGCTATAATCATGATTTAATTGTCCTCGTGCTTAATGTTTTTTGTGTGTCAACAAGCGCGCAAATTGATATCAGA